CTTGTCCTAATTGGCGAGGGGTGCTGGTGTCTATCTCCAGCAGTCAATGGTCGAGAGCAGGGTACACCCTGGACAGGTCGCCAGTCCATCGCAGGACAACACAGAAACACACAGGACAAACAACCATTCACTCACACACTCACACCTAAGGACAATTTAGAGAAGCCAATTAACCTAACAGTCATGTTTTTGGACTGTGGGAGGAAGCTGGAGTACCCGCAGAGAGGCTGATATCTTCGATGTTGATATTGCAGCTTCATGTTGAAAATTCGGCTTCCTCAAAATGGTATGGAATAGTAAATGCAATATTTGACTCAAGTAAACTAAATATACTCAAAATAAATACTTAAGTACAATAATCAAGTAAAAGTACTTTGTTACTTTCCACCACTGCAAAGGGCAGAGGATAATGGACAAGAGTGACGCCAGAGCCAAACAATAACAAGTCAATGTTCTGTTTAGCAGGGGGCTTCTGGCCTAAGACCCCTTTATAAACCTACAGACAATGCAAAAAAATATGTAAAGAAAAATCAGATGATCCCATGTTTTTCTCCATTTTATGCACAATTTATTTATAATATATTTTTTGTTTTTTTAGTATTATAATACTAACTAACATGTGTTTAGCGCTGTTATATTCCCACGACATTCCCACTTTTTAACATACTGTTGAAAGGACCATGACAGAAATCAAACATGTCTAAAGTGGTTGCAAAGGGAGGGCTGTGCTTAATGTGTCATACACATATCCAAAACATGGTAACATGTTTTATGTTTTGTTTTTTATGTTCAGTTAAAATTAAAACTCCAAACTCTCACATCTAGTTTCCTGCAAAAAGAAGGAAGAATTTAAATTTGCTATTAGCCAGAGTGAGCTATCTTTCCTTTCATAGACAAAAGAAGAACCTTAAAGTTCAGTTCTAAATCCACTGGGTTTGTCATCTCAATTTATCCTATTAAAAGTTGTGCCTTAAAACAATGATTTAGAAAAGAATTTAATAGTTTAATTTCATCATAAGATAAAACAATCATTTGATTCTATCCTTCATCTATTTTTTTTTTTTTTTCTATTTTTCCTCCAATTTTCTGAGACACCCAAGAATCTCTGACAGCCCCAAGTTTGGAAAATACTGCCCTAGTGTGCATTTTGATGAAAAATTAAGCTAAATGGCTTTCCTATAATCCATTTAGTTACTGTGAATATATTAACGTGTAAAAAACTAAGCAGTGGTTTGCTCCAACTTCTCCCTTTTGTTTATGAGGGATGGAGGACAATAATAAACAAATACTGAGTTCGAATTCAGGGGCTGCGTCTGCTGAAGGCCGGATTAGTGGGCAGATTACATCATAGCGCGGCGCCGAGGCCTGTTCGGATTGGATTCATTGCAAGTCCAAGCAAGCCTTCTGCTCTGTGCTCAGAGGAAAAAGCTACTTGGTGCTGAATAGTGGTGAATATTGGAAGTGCAATTTAATATAATGCAAGTATTTTAATAGTTCCATCTTTAATAAAGGAAAATAGATGGTTCAAATGGTTGTTGAGTCAGATATGTGGCGGGTGATGATTGATTTATTGAAAGATTTCATCTATCCCTGTGTAAATGGGTTTGGCTGACATTTCAGGACAGATTCTAATACCTCTGCAGTGTTGGGACTATAAATCTAATGTTCGCCACAACAGTACTGCTGCTGCAGGTCCTCGAAAATTTTATTAGCACCCAGAACAGTAGTGAGAAGTCCAGCATCCATTCTTTGCCTGCTTTGTGTGTAACCTGTCATGGTTACTAGGCGACAGAGCGTAAGGGCGATGAAAGCCGGAAATGGCTGAACCTGTTTCAATCCACGGCCAAAACTCTACCAGCCTCCTAATTTTCACAGACCTCCAAGTAGGATGGAGGATGCAGCCTCTGAAACTGGACACACCCATACTGTGTGTCCCATATAACTTCCATAGCTAAAAATGAATCTTTTATTTTCCACAATATGGATAATTTTTAAGTGTTTTTGTACTTTCTATATCTATGTTTACTACCCTGATATAGATGTCATCTATGAGACTATGAAGGAAATTATGTTACTGTGATGTGGCTATAAAGAGTTGCAGCTTATTGTTGCAGAAACCAGCTAAACCAGATATTCTGAGGCCACAAGCAGAATATGCAGATGTACAGTTATGTCTGAACGTCACTAATTTTAATGACTTCAATACGGTAAATTTGGGGTTCAGATACAAACATTTAGTTTATTTTTAGCAGTTTTTCTCTATAAAACTTAAACACAGTCATTGAACTGAATCATTTTAAGGAACTTAAGATAATTAATAAAGGCTGTAGCCTCTAAATGTATTTAGGTTTTTAACATTTCTCTGTTTTATTTTGGGCGGTTTAGATTCTGTAGGTGGTCTTATAGCAGAAGCGCTTTGAGCAGAAACAGGAAAGTAGACGACCACAGAGCTGCTAGTCTGTTAAACAGAACAACCACAGCCTGCAGACAGACGTGTCTCTAACACGTTAACCTGTGTCCTCACTGAATCCTTTAAACACACCAAGTCAGCAGAGAGACTCTGGTGTTCAAAGTGGCTCAGATTGTTCAGTGTTAATAAGTTTAGAGCGAAAAAACTAAACTTAAAAATCTGTAATATATTAAGATTAGATAATGGCAAGAAAAAGGTAATAAACTAACTTGGCAAGGTATGCAACACAGGGCCAGGCAGGATTTAATCCCAGAGATTGCCAGGTGATAGCCGTACATGCTGACCAGCCAGCTAAAGAGAAATCTATGTGGCCAAGTAGCCAGGAAGTATTATCACTTGGGCGCTTGACAGGACTCTACTGTCACATTTGTTCTCCTCTTTTCACAAGCACATCATTGTGCTCCACACATGCTGCCACAACCATTTATGAATCCATGGGCTGTTTACCAGCATAGCACTAGGATCCTGACAGCAACACCAGAAGGCAAGGTATGCAAAGGAGGGCCCAGGCAGGCTGAGCAGTAATACCCGTTTGCCAAATATAAAAAAAAAAAAAAATGCTTTCAGACTGAATTTCAACAACACCAACAATCCTTCATCACAGAGCCATACAGTGTGGTGCATGAACACGTTTTATGAATAAATTTGTCATATTTTTAAAGTAATGAACGGGGACGAGATTGACGTTCACTCTGAAAACAATGAGCGACACGCACAGCTCAGGTTTGAGTTCAATTAATAATTACACTTTTCATTGAATAATGTCAGGTTTACGACACTTATTACGGCAAACAGCCTGACAGAGCAGCATGTCTAATGCTAGTAATGCTAGTCTGCTCCATTCAGACTTATCTGCTGGGATTTCTGATGCCAGTTTAACAGAGCGTTTGGCAGAGATAGATCAACTAACAATGGAAGACTGGGACAGAAAAAAAAAACTCACGCTTTAGTGAAAACTGTGCCAACCAGGACTTGACAAACAAGTCCATATGTCAGCTACGCCCACTTCAAATTTAAAGCGACACATGGAGTTAAAGCATCTGAGCTATCTTGGGAAATATCTGCTACTGAACGAGGAACGGACAAATCATTTTGGATCCAGATCTTTGCAGCAGAACCTGAATGTTCCTGAATGTTTCTGAAGTTCTGTGTAATTTGGCTAAATAAAGGCTACATTGCACGTACGGTAAACCTTGACTACATCCAGTATTTTCTACGTCTTTCTATATATTATGACCACATATTTAAAGGCTTATATACGAGGTTCTATTGTAGGATTGTGGCTTCATTTACCAAATGAACTTGAACTAGTTCATGTATAGGTTGATGAACTTAGCTAATTTTAAAAAAAGTGAACTATGAACGTGAACTAATTAATTTTCATGTATGTGAACTGAACTTGTTGCTCGTTCCTTTTTATTATGAACTGGCACAACATTGGTGTAATCATACTCACCTCTGCTGGGTTTGACTTTCTGCTGCTGTAGCTGAGTTATTTGGACTTCACTGTATGTGATGTCATTTTCTTTACCAGCTGAAATGAAACAGATTTCACACTATTCAGTTCTTTATACTGTTGTTCAACCTTGAGGAATAAACTCTAGTGACCGTTAGAATGTTTGGAATTCTTGTTCAGTTCTAGTAAACTGTTATCAGTAAAGAGCATCACTGATTGCATTATTGACATAAAAGCAGTTTTAGTAACTCAAGATGTTTCTTTCTCACCTTTTGAATTGTGACAATGTCTCTTCACCAGCAGAAGCACTACCACCAGTAGAACCACAACNATGGAGGAAACATCATCAGATGGAGGAAACATCATCAGATGGAGGAAACATCATCAGATGGAGGAAACATCATCAGATGGAGGAAACCTCTTCCAGTTGTGATGCTGCAGCTCAGTCCAGTGGTCTCCATGTGTGTCTGAGGACTGACCAGCAGAGGGCAGCAGCAGACTCCTTGAACCTGGAAGGAGGACATTTAGAAACCCTCTCTGAGCAGCTCTGACAGCAGAACGTTTTTAGACACATTTCTATAACTTTATCTGATCAGTTTTTATCATTTTATGTAAAACATCCAAAGATCAAGACGTGTTCATCATCCAGCCTTTGGTAACCTTCAGGTCATGTGAGGTATTACCAAACGCTGACAGTAAACATGTTTCCTGCTCCTATCAGGCTCCTTTCTTCTCCTTTCTCTGGTTTAAAGGAGCTGAACTATTTTCTCACGGACGCGTCTTCTTCATGGTTTTCCTGGATTTTCCATCTGGTTTTCCAACACAAACAACCAAACCAGAAATGAGCTCACTGCACCTCCTAATGTGAACCTGCGGCCAAAGCTACAAACACAATGGAAGTTCTAGTGGATAAATATTTGACTTTGTGATGAAGGCTTTCTGATGGAGGGAGAAGGTTTCTATCCTCCCATAATAGAAGCTCTGCTTTGGAGACAAAGATTTCTGCTCATAATGATCCTCTCTAGTTTACCTTTACTGGTTTACTTCAAGGCAAACCAGTTCATCCATATTTGAAGCTAAAACTGTTCCTTCATCCATGCATCCTCTTCTCTGGGAGGGAGTTTTCCAGAAGGTCTGGAAATCCTGGTAGATCTTCCTGGATCCTCTACTGATGGGAGGAAGATTAGAGGCAGCTCCATCTTTTTTCAGTCTAACCATGTTTTTTATTTATTATTTTTTTGTTTATCTAATCCTGGGTTGTTTTCATACTAACCCCGAGTCTAAGTCCTGGTTTTATGTTGGAGTTTTTCAGTCTAACCTTCTGTTTTTTTTCATACTAACACAATGTTTTCTTTTTCTTTTTTTTCAGTTTAACTCCAGGTTTCCTTTATACTAACCTGTTCTATGTTCCTTCTTTGTGTCTAATCTCAGGGTTTTTTCATACTAACCTCGTTTTTAATCCCGGTTTCCGCTCCAGCGGAAGCGACTGCTCTACCGATTCTGCCAGGCCTCCTTTTCCACTGCAGCGTTTTTGAACGATTGGACCCAAATCACGCAGGAATTTCATCATCATGTCGTAGTAGTTTATACATTTAGGCATAAAATAGAGCAATAAAGGGCTTATTTGGCCGGAACCAGGCGTGTCTGATGTGCCTGCTCTTTATCTGGCTGCCTGACCTTTCAGCCTTTTTCTTTTCTGGTGTTTCTTTTAAAGGAAAAGTCGCTCATATTCAGAATTC